GATTTTGATTTGGTTTGGTTTTGTACCAAGGATCCAACTCGGGACCTTGAGCTTGCTAGGCAGGCAGCAGCACCAACCCCCAGCAAGTCTTTGGCCATGAGTTAAAATTAAAGTTCCTGTCATAGCCCAAGTTGTTTGTATAGCAGGCGGGTTGTAACTGTAGGGTCCACTGTATATATTACAATTCAGAATTTTTTGTTTTGTTTTGAGACAGGGTCTCACTATGTAGTTGAGACTGCCTTGGAACTATGTAGCCCAGGCTGGTCTCGAACTCACAGTGATCCTCCTGCCTCAGCCTCCCGAGTGCTGGGATGACAGGAGTGCACCACCCTGCCCGGCCTCAGAATTTTTAAAACAGAAAATACTGGGCTGGGGAGGTAGCTGGGTGATAGGGTGTGTGGTGGGTGTGCATGAGGCCCTGGGTTCCATCCCCAAAACTGCAAAAAGAAAAGCAACCCAAACCAAAAAAAAAATTGTTTTTGGGTTGTCCATTCAACACATATATACTAGAACAGTCATACACAGGTCACTTCATTTCTGTTTCTCTTTGCTCCTTTCTCTCTCACCTCGGGTTGAAACCAAGGCTTTACACTAGGCTAGTGCTCTACCACTGAGCTTACATCCCCAGCCTTTTTTAAAACAGGGTCTTGCTCAATGGTGCCACCGTCTGCCTCACAAGTGCAAGGTTACAAATTCATACCCAGTACCAAAAATAAAAATAAAAATAAAAAAGACAGGGTCTTGCTAAATTGTCCAAGCTGGCCTTGAACTTTGAATCTTCCTGCCTCAGCCTCCCAGTATCATACTTTGGTGGGCGTGGCGGTGTACAGAGATCAAACTCAGAACCTTGCACTTGCCAGGCAGGCATGGCACCACTGAGCTGTATCCCCAGCCCTCCTTTTTTTCACTTGAGACAGGATTTCTTGATATGTAGCGCAGGCTGGCCTCAGACTCACACAGGTCCTCCTGCTTTGGCCTTCCGAGTGCTGGCGCACAGGTGTGCACAACATGGCCAGCTCTCTGTACACTTTAGCTCACCTCTCCATCACTTACAGTACCGCACATAATATTGACGTAAGGCTGTGGAAATAGTTGTTACACTGAGCTGTGTGGAGAATAGTCCCTGGAGAAAGTCTGTCCGCGTTCACCACAGAGGCCATGTTTTTTCTACAATTGTCTGTGGATGGTGAACGGGCGGACCTAGAAGCCATGGACAGAGGCCAACCGTAGCAATGACCACTGCAGAAGCAGCCCTGCCTCCCGCAGGGGAAGAGGCCCAGGGCGAGGGGAGATGGCAGAGTGGGCTGGACGCCACAGGTGGGCCCTCGGTGTAAACCCCAGCAAGGTCCGCGGAAGCAGGTTAGGGCGCGGCAGGCTGGCTTGGGAGACCTGGCGAGGGCTGTTGACTGCAGAAGCCCAGGACGCATGCGCAGAACGGTTCCCAAAGCCTGGCTCACGGACCGATCAGAGCGCCGCCTCTGTTCCTCTCGGGAGAACTCTGAGCAGCTTTGGGATAAAAGCCTGGCTCTGGCTCAGCTTGAGCGGGAGGTACAGCCGTGTCTGGAGCTCTCCGCTGCTGTGCTCTTGCGTGGTGATCCCCTCTCACCCTGTAGAGTGCACTGTGTTTCCTACCCCAAACACACTCTGCAGCGCCTGTTTCTTTTCCTACCTTAAATAAGCAAAACAAACCTCACCGTTTTGCGCGCTTTTCAAACTCGGGTCCTTGCGCTTGCAAGGCAGGCCACCGAACCGCTGAGCTAAATCCCCGGCCCCTGCGCGTTTGTCTTGATCAATTCTTTCCCGTGGACAGAAAGAACTTAGAAACCAGCCCTAGAAGGAGGCCCCATCCTGATAACACCATGGCGGGTGTGGTCCGTGCTAAGGAGGCTTGGTGACCAGGGCGGGTACAGACACCACCAGTCACATCCCCACTTCTCACTGAATCCCCATGTGGTGCCAGGAGCCAATGAGCTTTCCTGAGCCTTCGCCCCCCCCCCAGCACTGGGGGTGGAATCCAGGGCCTCACACTGCTAGGCAAACACCACTGAGCACCACCCCAGCCTTCGGCCTCTTCTGTGAGGGAACAAACCGGGGCTCTACCTGGTGACCTAATCACTTCCCCAAACGCTATCTCTTTTGGAGAGGGTGTCTTGTTATGCAGCCCAGGCTGCCCTATAGCTCATCTTGATCCTCCCTCAGCCTCCTGAGTACTGGGATTACAGGCGCGCACCACGCCTGGAGGGACAGGCCTTGAATCCGACAGGTGAGCAGCCCAAACTCAGCAAGGTGAACCCAGGCCCTCCATCCACAGTCCTCTTGCTCAGGGAGGTCATGTTCCTAAATGAAGAAGATACTGGGCATGTTGGTGCATGCCAGTAGCCGTCTACTCAGGAGGCTGGGCAGAAGGAACGCAAGTTCAAATTGCCTTAACTGTCTCACCATGGTTGGTTTAAGAAATGCCCAGAGCCAGGCATGGTGGTGCACGCCTGTAATCCCAGCACTCAGGAGGCTGAGGCAGGAGGATCGCTGTGAGCTCAGAGACCAGCCTGGGCTACATAGTGAGTTCCAGGTCAGTCTCAACTACATGCTGAGACCCTGTCTCAAAAAACCAAAAAAAGAAAAGAAATGCCCAGAGAATTAGTAAACTACACTTCTGCGGGCAGGTCATGGAGGCATGACGTTGGGGATCTTATCTGTTCCCCTGCTTGGCTTCCTGGCTGCTGTGAACTGAGCACCTTTGCTGTACCACGTCCTACCAATGCTGGTCCTGCCTTCATGCTGGCTGGTCATGGACTGAATCCCCTGCAACTGAGAGCCAAGTAAACCCCTCCTCCTTTCACGTTGTGGGTGTCAGGTATGGTGTCCCAGCAGCAGGAAAAAACTAATACACCCAGTTTGGGCAACTCAGCAAGACTCGGTCTCAAAATGAAAGATACTGAAAAAATACAAAGGCTGAGTGGTAACTTAGGGTAGAGTGTCCTGGATTCAGTCACTAGTACCAAAAAAGTTAAAGCAGAAAGAGTCCAATGGTGGGGGTTTTTAAGTTGGGCGGGTGACAGGCACCGAGATTCTGACTGAAACTCAGTCCGGATGTTGTGAGGAGCTTTACAGGTAAGCTTAACATTTAAATCCACAGACTTTCCGTGAAGCACACTGCCTACCTTCTGCGTGTGGGGGCCTCATCAAGTGAAGGCCTTAGGAGAAAAAATGACAGGACCCTAAGGAGGAATTTGGCCTCCAGACTGTTAGGCCTCTGCTGGTGACATCAACTTCCCGCAGCTGGTCTGTGGGCCCAGCCCACAGACACTAACCTGCCCTCTGCAATTGCAATAGATTGCAACAAATTGCAACAAATCTATCTCCCTTTGTACATCCAGGAGTTCTGTTTCTCCAAGGAAACTGCCTCATATTCAGGGCTGCCTGGGAGCCAGGGGCAGAGCTCTGACAGCAAAAGTAGACACAGCCCCCCTTTTCATGGACTCCTGTGAGATAATACTTTTCTTACCTTTGTTTTTTACTTGTGTAATTGTTTTTGTTTTATTTTTTGTTTTTTGAGACAGGGTCTCACTACATAGTTGACACTGACCTGGAACTCACTATGTAGCCCAGGCTGGTCTCGAGCTCACAGCAATCCTCCTGCCTCAGCCTCCCAAGTGCTAAGAGTAGGCAATCAGCTTCTTAGCATTCTGATCTAATACCAACTGCCCAAACTTTGTGAATTCGAGGATGAGATCTGGGTATCTGCCTACATTCAACAGTTAGAATTTCATCTTATTTGGATACAGAAATTTTTTGGTCAATGCAGTGGAGGACAGCAGACCCCTTATCTTGGTCGGTCACTCTACACCTGAGGGCCAGTGCCCTGCCTGTCCCAGCCTAGCATTGGGGAGAGCTGAGCACCGCAGACCCCTCGCTGTCCCAGCACAGTACACACTGGCAGGCCAGGAGGGCTGTGCCCGCTGGCAGATGGTGGGGCCACTGTGCTAAGAAGGGGGCCACTTGGAGACACATTCATGGATGACGCCCCAAGACTGTAAAAGCAAAGGAGAGGGTGATTTGTAAGACAAAGCTCAAAGCACACATGGGGTGAAAGTGTCTAAAGCACAGAGACGTTGGCTTTTTTTTTGGTCATTTTCTTCAGGATATTAGGAGGCCTGACTCAGGGTGGTGGTGCATGCCTGTCATTCCAGCACTTGGGAGGCTGAGGCAGGAGGATCACCATAAATTTGAAGCCGGCGGCGTGGGCCACATGGTGAGTTCAAAGCCAGCCTGCACTAGACAGTGAGATAGACCCTGCTTCAAGAAAAAGGAAGAAAGGAAGCTTTTTGTGCTTTCTATGCCATATTTATTCAACCAGTCCCTTCGAGGAACAGTAATTACATTCTTAACTTCTCACCAACCCAACACAGCCATGAATTGTCTGTACCTATCCAGCCAAGAGCAGGCCTGCTGGGGCGAGCGTGGGTGTTAAATGCTGACACACCGCCACAGGACCCCCAACAGGACAGTCTGACCTCTCTCCCAGCACCACAGAAAGCCCATTTTCTCATCCTGTTGTTACGGAAGGAACTGGCAAGTGACACACAGAGAGGCAGCAGAGCGAAAGTAAATTAAAAATGTTTACTCCATGGATGGGGATGGATGACACCTCAGGGTGGTGCCCTGATCGACTCCCCACTGGGTTACAGCTCCTTCTTTTATAGGGTTTTACAGCCTTGATCTCATTCAGTTGGTTACACTGCATTTTCACAGCTCACACTGCTGATACCCAAAACATGGTGACAAGGCAGCTGAATCTCAACCCGGATGCAGTTATGTGTTAGGGAAAGTTACCTTCGAGATTCATTCAGTCGCCTGTTTTAGCCATGGGGAAGGGAGCGTGTTTGGTCAACAAAGCTAACAATGGTTCTTTCCACTTCCAAACTTCTGGGGAAGACTAGGTGCCTCCAGTGCCAGTTAATTCTGAGCTAAGCAGAGTGAGGGGCAGAAGTTATCTTACATTGTGACATTTCCTAAATTTTTGCTATTAAAGTTTTCCCTACCACTGTCACAAAGACTAGCTATTTTCACAAGTTTTCGCACTCTGGAAGGCAATGCAACCTTCTCATTTTTATCTGGTTATCTTCCATTGACAGGGAGGAGGGGAGAGACTCTCCCTACATAGTCTGTGCTGGCTTTGACCTCACTATGTAGTCCGGGTTGGTCTCCAACTGCAAGTGACCCTCCTGCCTCAGCCTTTGAAAGCTGGGGTTACAGGCCCGCTTCATCACACCCACGCCGTTTGGATTTTTGCTATATACCGAGTTCAAATCAGCCCAGTCTTCTTATCATCTTCTTTGTACTGCTAAGACCCTTTTATTTATTAAGAATATTTACACTTAACCACACTGCAGTTTTGTGGGGAGGTCCTAGGACGCTCTGCACTGAGTGACAACCCAGTCCTTTTTGAGACAGGCTCTCACTAAACTGTCCAAGGTGGGCTTCTTGCCTCAGCTTCCTAAGCAGCTGGGATTAAGGTCAGGTGTGGGTCACCAAAGCCAGCAAGACACTGTAAAAATTTTTACCAGTCTGTTTATCATCTTCTCCATACAGTAGTTTTTCCTGTTTAGCAGGATCAAGCCTGTTGATTGTTAACAACTTCAGTTTTACGTCTAATGTAGACAAGCCTTTTTCTAACCCCACCCCCAGTACCAGAGGTTGAATTTTGGGCCTTCATGCTGACCTACATCCCCATCCCTCCTTTTAATATTTTGTACTGTAAGAGTCTTGCTAAATTGCCCAGGCTGGGCTCAAATTCAAGACCCTCCTGCCTCAGCCTCCCAGATAAGAATTTGCTAGACTCCAGTACGTATTTTCTGCACACTTACCAGTTCTGGCTCCTAAACACTGAGCCTTTATTGTAATCCGCCCACTGCCCCGCCTGATGCCTGGCCTTTCAGGGCCCCACCCAGCTCTCCAGCCCCAAGGCAGAGCTCAGGTCCTTGGAGCCCGAGGGCCAACCAGGACTGGGGAGCGGCTGGGTGCCCGACAGTGGCCTCAGGTTATTCTCCAGCTCTGTCGCCACCCGGGGGGCTGCGGCCTGGATGGCATCCTGGATGCTATTCAGGTCCCACTGGGTCCTCAGGAGGGCGTCATCCAGTGTGAAGAAGCCATCCCGTGTGCGCCGGACTTGGGAGCAGATGGCGGTGGTCTTGAGCTCCAGGCCAATTTCATGAACCAGCTTCCGGAGCTGCTGCTGCGTCTCGTTCACGCACTGCACCTCTGCCAGGACACAAAGGTGTATCCGGTGATCAGGAGCACAGCCACAGGGCCCCACGCTCCGGTCACCTCCCAATCCTGCCATCATCTCCAGGCTCATGGTGCAGGCTGAGGCCCAACGGGTGGAGGGTGGGGGACAGAGGGGTCAGACGCGCAGGAGCTCAGCCCTGACCTGCGCCTGCTGGGTCAGAAGTTGCCTTTCAAAAAGACCCCCAGGAACTCTCCACAAGCACCACTTTAGACTTAGTTTCCTCACCTGTGAAATGGGGCTATGAAGAGTCAAGCGCTCACTTACACAGACTGCCTAGTCAGCAGGCACCAAGAGAAGGAGGCCATGCTAACGGGGCCAAGGCAGGGGAGGAAGAGGGACCCTGGGGCTGTGACGCGGGGAATCACTGCAGCTGGTAAAGGAGTCACCAGGCACAAGCTTTGCATGCAAGTCGAGCTCCACAGTGCAACCTGGCAGGGGCCAGGGTGGGAGGAGCCGGCCCCACGGCCTCAGCCAGAGGGGGCCAGGGTTGCAGCCTCTGCCACATGCTGCCACCCCCTCACCGCTCACCCTCTGAGGCTACTCACCTAAGAGGAATTCTGGAGGTGTGAAGTGGAGGCAGCGGATGCCAGAGATCAGCATCGGGGACTTGTCCATGGGCCGGATCACACCTCTCACGGCCATCTCATAGGCCTCCTGCGACTGCAGGTCCAGGTTGGAGTACCTGGGAGCCAGAGGGACTCAGTGGGTGGCTGGCACAGAGCAGGGAGCTGGGCCACAGCCCTGCCCAGCCCTCCCACACCATGAGGGTGGGTCTCTGCCAGCACAGCTCCTCCAGCCATCTTTGAAGACGTCTCCTTTTCTTTTCTTTTTCTTTTTTGAGACAGGGTCTTGCCATGTAGTCCAGGCTGGCCTGAAACTCAAGGTGATCCTCCTGCCTCAGCCTCCTGAGTGCTAGGATGACAGGCATGCGCTACCACACCTGACCCTAAGGCAGGGGTTCTTTTGGTTCCCCTTACAGACAAGCAGAGTGAGACGCGTGGCAGGTGAGGGCCTTGCCCAGGGCCAGGCTGCTGAGGCTGAGAGTCAGGGGCCTAATGCAAGCTGGTACCAGGCTCAGGCTCTCAGGACGAGGGGGACCCTCTGCCTGCTGCTGCCCTCCAGCCTGGTCTTGAGCATTTGGTCTTTGGCTTCTTGCCACATGAGAGCTCTGGAAGCTCTTCCCCTCGGCAGGCGTACAGGACACCCCTGGGTGCCTGGAACAGGGAGTCCCACCCAGTCGACACTGCTGAGAACGGCACGCTAGGAGTCCCACTGTCCCAGGGCCTCCCAGGCCACTCACATCACCAGGGCCTTCTGGTGGGAGCCTTGGATGACGCACAGGATGCGCTCCAGCTTCTCTCTGGTCACGTGGTCTGGAAGGGGTACAGGGCGGGGGCAGTTAGTCCACAGGAGTCCACTGAGGACCAGCGACAAAACGCTGGCGCGTCCTTTTCCCCACACCAGCCCTGCACTTGGAATCCACCAAAGCACCCAGAAAAGTCTCTTTTTTTATTACTATTAGTTTTACTTTGCAGTACTGTGCATTGAGCCTAGACTCTAGCGCCTTGCACGTGCTGGGCCAGTGCGTTGCCCTTGAGCTCCATCTCCAGCCTCCCCTGCCCCTGCTTTTTAAAAATTTTACTCTGAGACAGGTCTTGCTTGGTTGCCCATGCTGACCGTGCAATTTTGAGGCTCCTGCCTCAGCCTCCCCAGTGCTGGTCTTATAGGTGTGCTCCACTGTACCTGGAATCTTTATGAAAACTCTACACCCTCTTCCCAGCAAGACACAAAAGAATTTAATATTCTGAAGATATCTGCCAGGGCTCGCAGGTCCCATAAGTCATCCAGACTGCAGGTTAAGAATAGTTTCTAGCCAGGGATTTAGCTCAGTGGTTCTGCCGCCTGCCTTGCAAGCGTAAGGACCCGAGTTCGATCCCCGGTACCAAAAAAAAAAAATACTTTCTTCAGGCCAGGGATTTAGCTCAGTGGTTCCACCACCTGCCTTGCAAGTGCAGGACCCGAGTTTGATCCCCATACCAAAAAACAAATATCTTCTAAGCTAGGCATGGTGATACATGCCTGCAATCCCAGCACTGGGGAGGCTGAGGCAGGAGGATTACTGGGAGTTGGAGGCCAGTCTGAATTACACAAGACCCTGTCTCAAAAAACAAAACAAAACAAACAAAGAAACAGAAGAATACTTTCTTCTAAGCCAGGCATGGAGGTGCATACCTATAACCCCAGTGCTCTGGGAGGCTGAGGCAGGAGGATCACTTTTAAACCCAGCCTGGGCAACTTAGTGAATCCGTGAGATCCTGTCTCAAATTAAAAGGGCTGGGATGCAACTCAGTGGGAAGGCCAGGGGTTCAGCCCTCAACACACACACATACCCCTTTCTTCCAGACCTACTGTAACTTGCCCGATGTTCCATAGCAGGGACCATGTGAGGGAGGATGCCACTGGCCCAGTGTAAAAATGGGCTACAAGGAGCAGGCATGGCTCTGTCCCCTGGTCCCACTAAGCAACTGCCAGAGCCAATACGGGGTAGGGTTGGGGTCTCACAATCTGCCAGGAAGCTCAGGTCCTGCAGCCCAGCTGTGGCAGGTGCCAACTTCTAGTTCAAGGGAGCAGGTGTGGTGACAGAAAGTTCCCCTGCCTAGAGCGGCACAGCTCTCGCCACCCCTCCCATCTGGGGCCCTCACGCTGTCATCTTCCCTAGAACACGCCTGCCTCTGACTCCTTCCATCCTGCTGGCTGGGCTCAAACGCTGCCTCCAGCAGGAAACCCTCCTGGACCGGGTCGCTTCTTCCCCTGGCTTATCTCCTGCTGTACCTGGCCATCTCCCTAACACTCCATCGTCTTGGATTCTTACCTCGTGGCTCAGTGGTCACCTTCTAAAAATGTAGATTAACAACCACCACCATCTCCCCGTTTCTCCAAACTCTGCCTCCCTCCCTTCCAGAAGTAGTAGCGGAAGCGCTGTCCCCAGGGGCTGTCGGAGGCTGGCCCATGCCTACGCGTGCAAATACAGTAGTGCTTTGTCACATCTTCCACGCGACATACTGAGAGGTGTGTGCTCAGCTGAGTTCATCGGGGTTGATTTACCACGCATCCTCCCAGTGCTTGGCACAGGGCTGATGCTCAAAACCATCTTTCCAAGGAACACATGCAAGACATCCCAGGGAACCTCAGGATTCGGGGCTGGTGAGGGGTGAAGAGTAAGCCACCCAGGCCGGGCATGATGGCACACACCTGTAACCAGCATTCAGGAGGCTGAGGCAGGTGGGTTACCTCGAGTTCCAGTCCGGCCTGGGCTACAAAATGAGTTTAAGACCAGCTCGAACTACATAGCAAGACCTTGTCTCAAAAGAGAAAACCAAAAGAAGAACGATGATCCAACCATCTCCCATCTCCCATCCACCCAACCACCTGCATCTAACAAGCCTCCATGTCCTCGGCCCCATGCTACGTGTGTGACCACAGGGTGGCCCTCACAGTCCCTGTTCTGGGACCAGTCTGGTGGGCACACAGATACTAGGTAATCTCTGATCAGTAGCTGGTTTCCTCTCTGAGTCCATCAGCCCAAGGCCTGCGGCCAGACTTCCCGAGGGAGGGGACATCTGGGCCAAGCAAGGTGAGCACAGGAGATTCTGGGAGACAGGTGACGAGGCCAAGGCCCCAGCCTGAGCTTGGCATGGGAGTCAGAGTAACTGAGCTGGCACCGGAGGGCCGGCAGGGTGAGGAGCCCGGGAGGCGAATGCAGGGCAGGTGCTCTCACCGTAGGTCGTCTTCTCCACCAGCCGCCCATCCTCCTGGAAGTTGTCCGTGGCTTTGCCCAGCAGGCCGCGCACTGTGTAGTCCTGCGAGGATCGGGAGGGGAGGGTCCCTCAGTGATTCCGCTCCAAGAAGTGGCCCGAAGGAGATGTGAGGTGGAGGCTGGGACCCTTGTTCTCTCTCAGGGAGCTCCTGGCCCTGGGGAAGGTGCCAGCTCTGCTGTGAGGCCTCGGTGGCTCTCTCCACACTCCAGAGCCCCTCTGAGACCTGAGGACAGTGACAGGGCCCATCTCACAGTGCTGCTGCACGGGCCCACCTGCAAAAGGGGTGACTGCAGCCTCGCAGCCACACGTCTCCTCCAGCAAGTGTGCCCTGTCGGTGGAAGAGTCAAACTCTCCGTGCTGCAGGGACCACCCCCCTTCCTCTAACTCTGCACGCCTAGCTTTGTCTTCTGCTAGGAGGAATGAGGACAAGGACATGTCCTGAGCGCGTACCATGTGCCAGGGACTGTGCTAAGTACTCCAAGTGCAGTCACTCATTTGATCTTCAGAGCAACCCTACAGGGAAAATACCTCCTGGCTCCCATTTTGGAGAAGAGAAAACGGAAGCACAGGTATTGAGTGACCCTTCCAAGCACACCTGGCTGGTGGAGCGGTAGGAGCTCAGGGACTTTACGTTTTTGGTGTGTGGTGGAGATGGAACCAGGGCACTCGTGCTATGCTAGGGCTACAGTGGTGCAGCCCCACCACTGAGCGACACCACAGTCGTGACCTGGATCTTGAACCCAGAGTCTCTGATCGTCACACTAAAGACGTGGCCCCTCTGCACACACTTCTGGGTGTCAGATCCACGGCCCCACCTCCAAAAAAAAGCTTCCTGAGGACTGGATGGTGACATGTGCTTCTCAGCTTTGGGGAAATAATAATGGCGCCATCATCAGGCCCTAAGGTGGCACCAGCCAGCGTCAAATCCCAGCTCTTAAGGCCTAAAGGACCTGTGAACCTGGCTGCGCATCCCCTCTGAACCCTGGCTCTCATTCTGTGAAGTAGATCGACAGCAGCGGAAGTGCTGAGAATCCATGCACGGTGCTGGCAGAGGAGCGGGCGTGTGCTGACACGGGTCACTGTCATCACCAGTGTCCCTGTGGCGTGACTCTCACACAAGCTTACTGATGGCCTGGGTGTTCCCGATGGAAGCCCCAGCATCAGATTCTCGCCAGTGACCCCTGAAAAGGAGCAAAGGCCGAGCGGCTATTCCCAGGCCCCGTACCTTGGTGAGATGAGCATCGTACAGGTCGGTGAGGAGCTTGCATCCGTGTCCCACGCCGAGCACTGAAAGGCAGCCACCACATCTGGCACCCAAGCTCCCCTGCGAGTCACTCTTACCCCGCCCGCCCCCATGGACTCTGCCTTGTGGAGGGCCTGAGGTCCTCAGCGAGCTCCCCAGAGCGGTTCCGATGTACTTGGAAAAGGGGACAGCCCAGTCTCCAGTGATGTAGGCGAACCTAGTAGCTCTGAGCATCGCCTTTAACCTCTATGGGCCTAAACCGCCGTCAGTAAACAGTGGCACAAACATCACGGGTACTGTGCACACGGATGCAGTGCAGCTGGGAGGGAGCAATGCACAGGCTGAGGGCGGCAGAGGAAGGGATCAGGCAAACAGTAGCCACTGTGGCCACTTCCTGCCTCTCCCCCATCTGTTTGACCCTTGGGCTGAAGGAGAGAACGACCCTCCATTCGCTCCTGGCATGAGATCGTGTCTGCCAGCTGCAGCCCGGGAAGCATGATGAGGGGACTGCCAAGGGTGGCGACCTGGCCACCACCTGACCTCAGGGACATAAACAGCTCACGACTCAAGGGTCTGTGCCTTTAACTCTGACAACAGTCAGACTCTGGCCAGAAGGGTGAGAGTCGTACGGGGACATTTACCCTCCATGGAACTAAGCCAGGCCAAGTCACTTCAGCTCCTGAAGTGCTTTATTCACAGACCCAACAGTATCCATCTGATAAGGTTACTGTGGTGAAGAAATGTGCATAAAAGACCTTGAGCCGGGTGTGATGGCACATGCTGTTGTCCTGGAACTCAGGAGGCTGAGGCAAGAGGATCATGAGTCCAGGCCAGCCTGAACTACATAGCAAGACTCTGCCTCAAAAAGCAAAATAAAACAAACAAACAAACGAAAAAAGACCTTGAACTACACACATGTCACATGCAGGAATCACTTGATAAAGGCGGGCCACTGTGACCACTCTCCTGTGACTCCCTCCCTCCCAGTGACCAGAGACGTGGGACAGCAATCAGACAAGGCAGGCAGTGACAGAAGGAAGCTGTCAGCTAAGAAGTGGGCTGGATGCCTAGCAGCTCCCCGATCCTTCCCAAGGCCATTATCAGGGCACCCCAAGGCTGTCCACTTCACTTACCAAGCACCCCTGAAGACTGGACGTCCAGCCGGTGTCCCACACCAATCTTTAGGCTGGTGAAGGCCGGTCCACGTACTGGAAAGAAACAAGCAAGTCCATTTCTCAACAGAGCCCACCTCCAAGATGGCTGTGTGATGACTTCATTACTAGAATGGAGGCCCATAGAGCCTACGCTAGGATCAGGCTCGACCCTTGGGCCGCCCCACTATGGAATCTGGGGTGCAGAACTCGTTCCTCAGCTCTCCAGGGCAACACAAGAGGTCTCTAACTTTCCTTATCACTGTTCTCACAGTGAGAAATTTTAAGCTGGAATCCTAGAATAGTAAGATTCCACAAACCACAGTCCATAGTCCCTATCTCAAGCCTTTGTTTTGCTTCTTTTATTTATTTACTTATTTTTTTGGTACCGGGGATCGAACTCGGGTCCCTGTACTTGCAAGGCAGACGGCAGAACCACTGAGTTAAATCCCCAGCCCCTGTTTTGCTTCTTTTAAAATACAGAATCTCACTATGTTGTCCAGGTTGGCCTGGAACTCCAGTGATCTTCCTGCCTCAGCCTCCCAAGTAGCTGAGACAAGTATACAACCATCAATAATTGTTTTCCACTACAATCATAAATAAAGTTTTATTGAAACACAGCCAGACTCATTGTATTCCCTACTGCCTATAGCTATTTTAAACTACAATGGCAGAGCTGAGAAGATTCAACAGAAATCACACGGCTTTCAATGCCTAAAATATTCAGAATCTGGCCATCTGTGTGGCACATGTCTGTAATCCCAGCACTCAGGAGGCTGAGGCAGGACAATAGCCACGAGTTTGACGCCAGCCTGGGCTACTCGTGAGTTCAAGGGCAGCCTGGCATACATAGCAAGACCTTGTATGTTTATTCAGAAACTGGACCTTTCCAGGAAAGTTTGCCAATCTCTGGTCTAATACTTCATCTCCACTGCGGCCCTTCAAGGGTCTGGGGCAGGAATCTGAGCACTGGCACACTAACTCTGGTCAGGGATTTCCTGGGAAGTGACATCCAGGATCTCGCCTGCATCTACCATACCCAGAGGGTGGTCAGTGAGGGTGGGCACGCTGGTGGCTGTGAGGGTCAATTCCTTCTTGTCACTGCCTTCCACAGGGCACAGCAAAAAGCGAATGCGTTGTTTCGGGACAGGAGGCTTCCGGGCATTGAGACCTGAACACACAAGTAAAAGGCATATTTCAGTAAATAAAGACTTGAGATCAGCTCCTGACTCACCTAATGAACCATGTGATAAGAAAGACATTGAGTCAGTTTTCCATTTGAAAATAGGGGAAAAGAGGAGTGATGAAGTATACAGAACAGATGGTTAAGCAATCAGCTCCATCATCGGATTCTCGGGACGCCAGAGCAGGATCGTGGGTCTGGCAAAAGGGACTCACCTTTCAGAAGCTGCATCTCTACCGTATCCCGCAGGTGCAGCCATTTTAGTCCCGGGGGCTTATACACCGCAAAGAGCCCGTTCAGTCGCCCCAGGCCAGCGGAGCCCATACCCGTCAGCCCGCTGGTAGGCCATAAAGCGGAGGCGTGAACGGAAGTGCCGCCTAGTCCGGCTCCAAATGTTGTCCTCGCAATAGGAGCCACCAGGTTCCGCAGGCGGAAGAGGTTCTCACTGTCTTGTCCTCGGGGGAAACGTGACTCGGAGAAGGAAACAGGGCCCGGCCTTGAGCCGCGGAGCTAGCGGGGTTACATCTCCTTTGGAGACCCTTTCTGGGGTTTAGGGAAATGGAGACAGTTATATCCGTGGAAACAGGCGGAAGGCTTGTTGCGTGGGTTTCCTCATATTTAGCCATTGGTCCCTTTCTTGCCTGGGCTATGGTATTTCCGTTCAAAGGCCCCAGAACACCAGAGATAGACAGAGTCTTCTTGACTTCTTTGGCGCTCCGTCCCCGAGGAACTATGGGGCGTCAACCTTGCCCCACCCACGCGCCGGGGGACGTCGCTGCCATGGCGACACTGCTGCTCCGGGTCCTACGTCCCCTCAGCCGACTCCTGGGTGGTCACTGCCCTGCTGAGGGCAAGTGGCATTGGTTCACAAGGGCCAAGCGGGAAGAGCAAGCGAGCGCTGGGCTTCTCTGATCTTTATCTCTTTCTCACCTCACAGGTGTGTCCCTCCGGGCCGGGATCCATGGCGCCAGCCTGTTGTACCCGGACCATATTCCCACCTCCCCGCTGCAGAAAGCGCTGCTGGCCGCCGGCTCGGCCGGAATGGCGCTGTACGACCCGTATCGCCACGGTGAGGCTCTCGAGTTTGGCTCTTCCGCGGCGTCAGCGAGGAACTGGGCGGGTCATGACCTCTTCAAAGACTTCGTTTCATGCGGGGGCCAGGCCGGGGTGCCCTAAGCTGGTTGCAGCCCCTTATCATCAGGAACTTTTATAAAAACCAGCTGCCTGGCTCCCACCTAAACTCCCTGAATCTGAATCTATCGGGCAGGAGGAAGGGAGGGAGAAAGTGGGGTGGAATCTGAACGCCTGCCTTTATAAATTATCCACGGGAGATTGTCACCCAGCTATATTGAGAACCCCTGGATCAAATAGATGATGAGCACCTGTCATATCCTAACATTACCTCTAGAAAGTAAACCTTGTGAAGTAAAGGGCCTGACAGCTCTGATCCAGAGCGCATGCAGTACCTCTGGCACATAATAAATGTTCAGTAAATGTTGGGTGTATAATTAGAACAGCCTTGCCAGGGATTCAGCTCAGTGGTTCTGCCGCCTACCTTGTAAGCGCAAGGACCCAAGTTCGATCCCTGCTACCAAAAAACAAACAAACAAACAGAACAGTCTGGGCTTCCGCGTTGTCTTCCTCCTCAATCCCAGTATTTTTTAGTTCCAAAAAGTGCTGTACTCTAACTATTAAACACGATAATACAGAGCCGGGCGTGGTGGTGCACGCCTTTAATCCCAGCACTCGAGAGGCTGAGGCAGGAGGATTGCGAAGAGTTCGAGACCATCCTGGGCTACACAGTGAGTTCCTGGTCAGTCTCAACTACATAGTGAGACCCTGTCTCAAAAAACCAAAAAAAAAAAAGCAAACATGATAATACAGGCAAACCTGTACTCTCAGCTACTTGGGTGGCTGAGACACAAAGAATGCCAAATTCGAGGTCAACCTGGGCAATTTAGCAAGACTCTGTTTCAAAGTAAAATATAAAGGACTGGGAACATAACTCAGTGGTAGAGCACTTGCCCTGGGTTTGATTCTTAGCAATGAAGGAAAGAAAAAAAAAGAGAGAGAGAGAGAGAGAGGAAAAAAAACTATAATGTTAACTGCCAATTGAAAACTGTGCTAAGGGTTTTATATGCTTGATTTTCTGGATTTCTCATGTGAACCTTATGAGATGTTACCTGCATTTCACAAACGAGGTCTCAGAGACAGAAATGTGAAGCAATTTGTGCCAGGTCACTTATGTAGGGGCTGCACCTTGACTCTAGCCCTGGACTCTGATGCTGAAGTCTGTATCGATGGAGATGCGTTAAGTCTGTTGTGACAACAGGATGTGAACTTAACTTGCAGGGCCTGTCTGATCCTCCCCATCAGCACTGTGCCTCCCTCAGCTCCTCAAGCTGAAGCCCCTTTCCCATTTCCTCTTCCTTTCTAACTCTGCCTAATAAATCTGCCTAGGTGTCTCAGAGAGAGAAGGGAGGCGAGGGGATGGGGAAGAGATAAGATTTATAAACCTCAGCACTGTGCAAACCAAAGCACCCCGTTTGGTAGATTAATAGCAATAATTGATCTACTGAGCCTCTGCTGTGTATCCAGTGATTTGCTAAGCATATAACATAAATCCTTCTAAGAGGTAGATATTATCTCTATTTTATCATGTACAAACTAAGGCTCAGATCAGATCCCTAGATCATATCCCCCGTCTGTGCCCATTTTTGTCATTTCAGACATGGTTGCAGTTCTAGGGGAGACCACAGGATACTACACCCTGAAGGTCCTCAGGGACCAGATGAGGAGGGATCCAGAGGGTGCCCAGATCTTACAGTAGGTCTCATCTCCATTTGGGGACATTCTTTAGGAATCCTGACCTCTCTAGAGGCACAATGTGTCAGCTCTGTTCTTCTAAAGAAACTCTTTTTTTGTTTGTTTGTTTTTTTCCTTAGAATTCGGGATTTTTTTTCCACAGTCACTCTGTGTTTTACCAAAGATAATTAAAGAAAACCCACTTTGTTTGCAAAATGAGCTTAGTGGTTTTTGTTTGTTTTTCTATTTGTGCTGTACTGGGGATCAAACCCAGCAGTGCTGTACCACTGAGCTACATCCCCAGCCCTTTTATTTTTTAAGACCAGGTCCCTTTAAATTGCCCACACTCTCAGTATGGTGGCACATGCCTATAATTCTTCGAATTTGAGAGGCTGAGGCAGGAGGATCACAAGAAGTTTGAGGCTAGCCTGGACTACACAGTAAGTTCAAGACCAACCTGAACTACATAGTGAGACCCTGTCTCAAAAAA